CAGCTTCCTTCATTTCTTTTATTCTTACTATTAAAGCATTTGCATGCGCATTATTTTGTTTTCTATTCTTACTATAAAAACATACAACAGCACAATCACACCCCTCTCTCTCTTCTTTCAGCCCCTCTAGCACTGCGTTGCGTTTGCTCTTTCTTGTCTCTGTTATTTCTTTCTTTGAGTTACCTTTGCTATAAGGAATGCATTTACCTTTTCAATCACTGTATATCATTGCCAGCAGCAGTATCCTCACCAGGTCCCCCAGCAGCAGCAGCAGCAATAGCTGCTGCAGCAGCAGCTACTGCTGCTGCTGCTAGATAGTACTTGTGCTTGTGGCTCTGTATCTTAGCTTTGGAGATGGTATATGCGATGAATGAAGCCGCCCCTTGCTGCTGCCGCTCCAGAAGCAGCTGCTGCAGCAGCAAGTGCTGCTGCAACGGCGAATGCTGCTGCAGCAGCACTCCCCAAGCTGCTGCTGGCACCACAGAACCTGCTGGTGCAGCAGCAGCAGCAGCAGCAGCAGGAAGAACAAAAGCAGGAGCAGCAGCAGCACATCCTTTGCTTGGTCGCCGTGTGGTTGAGGCGTGTCAGCGAACGAAGAAGGTGCCTCTATTAACAGCTGCAGTTGAGGAGGCTGTGAGCCGTTGCTGCTGCTGCTCCTGCTGGGAAGCAGCAGCAATACCACCGGAGCAGCGCAGCCTCTACTGCTGCCTCTGCATGCAATCGAGGAAGCGAAATGACTGCATCTTTTGGGCTTCTCCCTGGACGACAAACTTCCGCACTTTTGCTGCTTTCTCAGACCCCAACGACGCTGCTGCTGCTGCAGCGGAGCAACACGCAATAAGAGAAACCAGCCAAAGCAGCAGCAGTAGCAGCAGAGAATACAGCAGTAAGGGCGGTGGAAGCAGTAGTCTCAGCACTGGGGACAGTGGGAGCGCGGGAGCAGCAGCAGCAGCAGCAGCAGCAGCAACAGCTGCATCAGCAGCAGATGGGGGCAGAAAACTGCATCTTTTTTTCTTACGAAAGTTATGGGGGTTGATGAGAGCTGCAGTGCCCTTAGCTTTGATGATTTCTGTCTTCTACTATGTGAGGAAGTTCTGCTGCTGCTGCATGCATCGTTGCTGCTGCTGCTGCTGTTGCTGCCGCTATAGCTGTTGCTGCTATTGTCGCAGCTGCAGCAGCTGCTGTCGCTGCTACTACCCCCGTTGCTGTTGCTGCCGCTGGTGCTGCTGCTGGCTGGCTGCGGCCTTGCTGCTTGAGACCTGTGTTGTGCGCTGCTGCTGCTGCTGCTGCTACAGTGCTGCAGCATGTCGGGGCCTCTGCCGCAAGTGCTGCTGCTGGTTGGTTTATTCTTTAGCTGCATTCCTTTGGGAAATGCAGTTGCTGCTCTTGTACGCCTACGAGAAGGTGAGGGTGTGGATGAAGAATATATATATATGTTTTTCTGTTGTTTATATTCATATATTTGTGTTTATATTCATGCATATGAATATATTTATATAAATACAAATATATATATATATATATATATACATGTATTTCTAGATGCTTTTTTTGTGTGCGTATTTCTCAGTCCGCATATATATATATATAATTGTTTGTCTATGAATGTGTGCATATGCAAATCTATATATATTATATATAATATATATAATATAAATTATATATATGTATATATATATATGCACCTATTTATTTATAAGTATATTGTCTGTAGATTTGACAGTTGGGCGTTTTTTGTTGCTTTATGCAGACAGTGCAGGCCATTCTCTCTTCTCTCTTCGTCGCCTGTAAACATTTATATATATGTTATATATATGTGTATATATATAATGTATATATATATGTTATATATATATATGTGTGTATATATATATATATATATATGTTATATATATATGATTGTGTGCTGATGTATATATCATATATGCATTATATATATATTATATATTTATGCATATGTATGCGTATATATACATATACATATATATATATATATTCATATATATATGTATACATATATATTTATTTATGCATTTATTTTGTTTCTGCATGCAGAGCGTTTGACGATAATTGGCGATTTTGGCGTTCAGTGGAATTTTCGGCGTTTGTTTGGGGCTTCTTCGCGTTTTGTTGCGATGAGTCAAATACAAGATGTCTTCATTAGTGAAGTATAACGCATTAGGGTTTTGTTTAGGGTTTAGCTTAGGGTTTTGTTCAGGGTTTAGTTTAGGGCTTAGCTGAGGGTTTAGTTTCGGGTTTAGTCTAGGGCTTTCCAGGGTTTAGGGTTTAGGGTTTGAGGGGGCTTAGCAGGGTTTAAGAGTTAGGAGGGTTTAGGGTTTAGGGTTTAGGAGGGCTTTGGGGGGTTCGGGGTTTAGGGTTGTTTAGAAAGGGTAGGGTTTGGGGTTTAGGAGGGCTCAGGGTTTAGGAGAGCTTAGGGGGCTTATAAGGGTTTGAGGCCTAGGGCTTGGGAAGATCTAGGGTTTAGGGTTTAGGGTTTAGGGTTGGGGGTTGAAGGGTTTTTTTGTATTTCAGGAAGTGCATGTCTACCGCATCGCCTACCATGTAGTTCTTGTTGTTGGAGATAAACAAGAATTAATTGTTCCTTTCCAGGTGCTGCATTTGTGGTTTGAGCTCAGGGGTTTAGGGTTTGCTGGCTTAGGGCTGCTGAGGGTTTAGGGTTTAGGGTTTAGGGTTTATGGGTAAACGCTTAGGGTTTGCGTTTGGCTTCGTTTAGGACTTTGAACTCCGTTTGGAAGATTGTTTGGCGGTTTACGAGGCGCTGCATTATCTTCTGAGGACTCAAATGCGTTTCGCTAAATCAGGGCCTAGGGTTTAGGGTTTAGGGTTTAGATGCTGGGGATAGCTGCTGTTCAGATCTTTTGTAGGCAGCGGCATTTGGCGCTTTATTTATATTTCCCTCTCTTAGTTTCTTTCTTTCTTTCTTTCTTTCTTTCTTTCTTTCTTTCTTTCTTTCGTTTATTTGTATTATGCAATACACCGCCTGTACACCGCAACAGCACTTCTTATATTACGTTTTAATCATCTTTTTGCATGCAGATACACCGCGATGAACCCTGAGTGATTACAAGGGGTATTTTTATTAAAATAAGCAGAAATAATGAATACAGAAAACCCTAAACCACGGGGGTGTGTTCAGGTGTACGTACACCTCAAGCGTGAGCGGGAAGAACCTCCTCAAGTAAATATTTTCGAGTGTAATGAATAATTTAATAAATATTTATTAAATTATTAATCATTCAATAAATTATTAATAATTTGCCAAATTATTAATAAATTAATAATAATTTCTTAATAATAATTATAACTAATTAATCAATTTTATTAGTAAATCATTAGTAATTTAATAATAATTTAATAAATAGGGTAATAAATAAAGCTACCAATAGGATTATTATATTAAATACAACAATAAATACAACAAATATAACAATAAATATAGACAATAAATATATAAAGAGAAAGAGGCGTCTTGCGCACTTCCCGGGGGACTGACTTTTTTAATTTAAAAAAAATATAATTTAGCAGAAGAAATAAAAAAGAATTTCAACAATGTTTCTGCTGATATTCAATTAATGAATATCAGCAGAATGAAGATTTAGTTTTAACTCCGTTTAATCCATTTTTACTTAAATTAATTTATTTAGGTGTAACTAATTATAACTAAACAAAACACTTGAACAAAAACCGAAATAAAACAATTTAGACAATAATAGTAGGGAAAAATTAAAAAACCAGAGGAAACAGCTAAATAAAACAATAAAGTAAGGTGATTAAAAGAAACAAATATACAGGAGTAGGATAAAATAATTAGAAATAATTAAGTAAAACAGTTGATTAAAACATTCATTTAAAATAAATTGGGTAAAGTAAGGGAACCGCTTTCGCAGCAACAAAATAATAAATAAAACAAAACGCTCTAAATGCTGCGTAGCAATAATAAAGGAAATCAATAAAGAGAGGACAACTAATACAGCAGCAACAACTCCTTAGCCTCAGGTTTGTTAAGGGTTTAGGGTTTGTTGTCTAAGAACATCTTAAAGGGGGTTTAACCAAGCCTACAGGGGCCCCTACAGAACCATAAAAAACAATTCCTACATTCTATATACATATCTTTCTGCTCTCTCTGCTCTTATACTGCTCTTAGCCGCCAAGCAAAGCCTAACTCCTACGACTGTCTATATATATATATATATATGTACATATATATATATATTTATTTATTTAAAGAAAGCATTTTGTCTTTAAAGGGGCCCCTGATCTAGGGGCCCCCTTGAAAGAATAAATAAAAGCCCCCAATAAGGGCCCCGAGACGCAAACGGGGGCCCCCTTTAGTAGCTTCTAAACAAAGCAATCTTAGGGGCCTCCCAACAGAGTTTAAACCCTTTTAGGGGCCCCTGTTTCCGCAACCTCTTCAAACCCCCCTCTTAAAAACCCCTCAAGCCCTCAAACCCTAAACCCCTAACACACAAACAACTTCTGGGGGCCCCCTATTGATAACCCCCCAAGGGGGCCCTTCCCGGAACGCCTTCGGGGGGCCCCTTTGGGAGGCCCCCTTTAGGGGCCCTTTTGGGTGGACTCGTTTAGGTGCCCCTTTGGGGGCCACTTTGGGGGGCCCCCTTTAGTAGCCCTTTTAAGAAGCCCCTCTGAAAGACCCTTTTAGTTAAGCCCCTTTCAGGAAGCCTCTTGGGCCCCTTCTAGAAGCCTCTTTAAAGGCCCCTTCCCTGAGCCCCTTCGGGGGCCCCTTTAGAGGGGCTCCCGAAGGGAAGACCCTTAAGGGGGGCCCCTTTGGGAAGCCCCTTAAGGGGGGCCCCTTTAAGAGGACCCTTTAGGGGGGCCCCTTTGGGTGGCCCCGTTGGAGGCCTCTTATAGGGGGGCCTTCTAGAGGGGCCTTTTAGGCAGGCCCCTTTAGGGGGGCCCCTCTGTGGGGCCCCTTTACGGTTGGTATTTTGTTTTGTTGTTGGAGGCAGTTGAGGGCTGGCCTACGTTTCGGGGTTTTCCTGTTGGGTTTGCGGAGAAGAGGGAGGAGAGGCCTCAACTGCAGCCTCGCTGTCTTCTCCTTCAATGTCTTGGGTGAGCTCAGTAGCATACGGATTCGGTGAGAAAGGATCTAAAGAAAAAACACAAAACCCTAAACCCTAAACCTTAAACCCTAAACCCTAAACCCTGATGTAACTCCTCTGATGTGCTTCGAAACCGCAACCGGAGGGACCCTGAACCCTGAACCCTAAACCCCAAACCCTAAACCCTAAACCCTAAATCGTGAAGGTGCTTTATCTTTTAAAAGGCCTCTAACCTGCGGGTTCATAGGCTGGAGAAGTAGGAGAATACTCCTGCGCCCCTTCTCCATATGTAGGAGAGGAGGCCCCCTGAAGCGGAGAGGTGGGGGAGTATCGCGGCGATTGCACAGAGTAAGCTGAGACGAAAAAGCAGAGAAAAAAGAAAAAAGAAAGACGAAAATACTTTTAAAGGATAAATCAACGAACAAATACGCCCGTATACTTAAAGGGGTATAAACAAGACAGGAAAGCAACAGATCTTTAAACTCCTCTTCTACCAGCAAATAACTGTCTGCTGTTGCTGCTGCTGTTGTTGCTGCTGCTGCTGCTGCTGTTTCTGCTGTTGCTGTTTCTGCTGCTGCTGCATCTGTTACAGAAGAGGAAAGTGAAGGGCTTTATTGTGAAGAAAGTATTGATATACTAACCTGGTGAAGCAACGTTTGCATAGCCTCCAGCTTGTGGTGAGTACACCGGAGAAGTAGGAGAATAAGCAGGAGAAGTAGGAGAATAAGCAGGAGAAGTAGGCGAGTAAGCAGGGGAAGTAGGAGAGTAAGCAGGAGATGTAGGGGAATAAGCAGGAGATGTTGGCTCTTGAAGAGGAGAGGTAGGCGAATATGAAGGAGATGTAGCAGAGTAAACAGGAGATGTCGGAGAATAAGAAGGAGATGTAGCAGCATTTGCATTCGGAGAAAAAGGAGCTATAGGCGCAACTGCTGGAGAAGAAGGGTTTAAACCAGCAGCTGAGTAAGCAGGTGATGTAGGCGAATAAGAAGCAGGAGAAGAAGGAGAATATGCAGGAGAAAACGTAGGTGATGTAGGGGAGTAAGATGCGCTGTAAGAAGGAGAAGCAATATTCCCTAAGCCTCCTGCTCCTGTGTCTCTTGTGTTGGGTTGATAATAAGGGCTTTGAAGAGGAGAAGAAGGCGAATAAGAAGGAGATACGGTGTCTAGGCAGCTCGTAATCAGCGGAGAAGCAGGCGAGAAGCAACCCCCAGCAATGGGAGACATAGGGTTTTGCTGCTCACGAGGAGAGAAGCAAGAAAGAGGAGATACAGGAGAAGTAGGAGATCTCGGTGTTTGTTGTGGAGGAGAAAACTTCCCTCCTAAAGCCTGTGTATCTACAACAGCTCCATCAACAGCTGATGGTGAAGTAGGAGAAAGAGGGTTGGAGGGTGATTGAGCAAAAGAAGAATAAACTGTTGAGAAAGGCATAGGAGAGAAGACAGAAGAAAGCGCATGAGGAGAAGGAGAGCCAGCAGCATCTGGAGAAGTACCTTCACCGCCCCCAGGAGATAACAGGACGCCTTCAAGAGCAGCACTGCTGCTGCTTTCTTGTTGCAGTTGAGAAGCTCTGTGCGCATCTCGAAGCTTCTCTTCATCTATTAATAAATCAGGATCTCCTGTACCTAGAGGGCATAGCTGACCAAGCATAATATTTTCTGTAACACCTCTTAAATGATCTGTTTCTGCAAAGATAGCAGCTTCCATGAGAATTTCAACAGTTTCCTCGAAAGAACATTTCTTTAAAGGCCCCTTCTCTACTCTATTTATACCATGGCGAGTAATACTCATTAAATATCCTTTCTGAGTCATAGAGTCGCACAAAACCGCTAAATGACGGTAGTTTACGTAGCTACCATCGAAAGATATAACTGCACGAAGTTCTCTTAATAATGCACGCCGAACAGCTTCAATTCCAAGTACAGCAAATATTTCTGTTATATCATTGCTTGTTGTTCTTGTTGCATCTACACGAGGACACGTTAATACTTCTTCTAGATTGCATCCGTCAGTATCTAACACCCAGTTGTTCACCCGTTCAAACTTTCCCTGAAACAAAACACAAAAAAATAGAACATAATTATTCAATTCATTAATTCATTCATCTTGTTAATTATCCTCCTCTCATAAACAACTCTAATCCCATACATTTCAGCAAAATCAATGCAATTCATAACAACACACGAATAAGAACAAGAGTAACAAACAACAAAAACAAAAGCAATGAGAACAACAGCAACAGGAATACGCACAAGAATTTCAAAACCAAGAAAAAGAATATTAAAAACAAGAATATTGAAAACAACGATATAAAAACAAGAGGAGGAGTATTAAAAGATGAAAATAATAAGGCGGTACTCTGCTTGGACGTCTCAGTTATTAGTTGATAACAAGCCTAACTCTTTGAATATTTTGTTAATGTTTGTTTGTTAATAGCATTACTCTTTATTGCATATCTATTTGTTAATTGAACTATAGTGGAAATAATTCATGTTGTTTTGATTGAGACGATGATAATTGTTGTTCTGCGATCTGTTTGAAGTGCATGCGCAATATATATACATACACACACATATATATATATATATATTTGTTTATGCTTTGTTTTTCTTACAGTTGTCTCGTTGTAAAGCGTTCTAGCTTCTTCTCTCATATAGACTTTCGTAATTCGGTTGACTCCTCGAAGTGTAATTCCTACAAGACAATGAAGCATGAGTTTTTGTAAGAAGCGATTTTCTATTTCAGATGCCTGATCATCCACTGAGTCTTGTTCCGCTCCATGTTTTTTTATTCTTATTCTTAGTACAAGTTCATCGGAGTTATCATCTGTCCATATACAGTCTAATTCATCATTCTCGAACTCCCTGTATATTGTTTCCCCTATCTCTTTCATTGTTAGCTTCTTGTCTATCATTACTTTTGAGTCCAGCTGTACACGCAGCAGCCACCGTCCTAAACTTTGAGGTAATTCTTCTTCATCAGGGAATTCATAATAATCTCCAACCCATTGTTTATCTTGAGGAACTATTGTCTTCGTAGGATCTGGATCATATATAACTTGCGCAACAGTGCAGACCTTCTCCAGCGTTGTGTGTTCTAAGTGCGTCTGTTTGCAGAAAAACAAACAACAAACACAAACAAAGAAAGAGATAAAATCCAATACATCTACGAAACAATCACATAATGCAGCTTCTTCTCTTGATCTATCGTCATATACAAAACTTATATTATTTCATTTATTCATTCACAATATGCTATCTAAATACACTCAGCAAACAATTCATATTAATGGCTTGAGGATATACACAACATTATTATTATTATTGTTATTCAATGGATGTTGTCGATCTCAGCAGCAAATGATCGCATGCAATATGCAGATACGAAGATACACTGTAATGTTAAAAGAAGAAAAGAAAGAAATGCAAACAATACGGTGAAAACCACTACAAGAAAAGAAGCAAAAAGAACAGACAGAAGAGAAGGATTTGCATAAAATTAAGATGAGTACACCGTAGCGACAAACACGAGTAAGAAGAAGCAAACAAATACACAAAAAACAGGGAAAGAAAAAGATAGACAGATGCATGAGAGTCAACCGCTAATCATCTCCAGCAAACAACAACTAACGGAAAGAAGAAGAAAAGGAGAAAAAATTAAAATTAAACAAAGCAGAGAAACACAAACTCAACAAATTCTTTTATAAGCAAAACAGCTACGACTCTTTACTACAACAAAACAAACACCAACGAACTCGAACATACAAAGAAAAAATAAATATAAATAAAATAAAACAACCGCGATCATCCAACCAGACTAAACAAGGCACACCGAAAAGCAAACAAACAAAACGAACAAACAAAACAAAACAAAACAAAACAAAATAAGACGGAACATTAATATATGATTGTTCTAACCTGCACATCTTTTGCTCTAAACAAAAAAAAGCGAAGCATAAGAAAACAAAAGAAAACAAAACAAAAGAAGAAAATATTAATATTAATATATGATTGTTCTAACCTGTACATCTTTTGCTCTTTCTTGATCGTAAGCTCCTTCATCGAGCAGATACACCGTAAGACTCGGCGTTTTAACAGTTTTCGCAACATTGATGAGTTCTTTTAGACGGGGAACTCCAAGAGTAACGTTTTTAGAACCAACACCAGCAAAATGAAAGGTATTTAGAGTCATTTGAGTAGCCGGCTCTCCTATAGACTGAGCTGCTATTGCTCCTACACATTCTCCTGCATGCGCTAAAGAACGATGAAATTGACGCTCTACCTCACCTAGTAACCACTAACAAACAAACAAATAAACAAACAAACAAACAAATATATATTTATTTGAGTTGTTTAGGGATGCCATACTGCTAACTTTAGTAACAGAAGAAGTATCAACGCTATCGTGTTATTGTATATTTCACTATTTCACTATTCTTATTATCATATATATATATATATATATTGACATGCATGTATATCCATATATTCATATATATATACATGTATATATATATATATATATATGCATATATATATACACAACCAACAGAAGAGCGCTGCATGTAGACGCCATTCTCATTACCATTACCACCGACCTCAGCGTTTTCTGTGTTCAGCATTTGCAGTTTATCTTCATTGAAGTGTATGGATTTAATTTGTATTTATTCCTTAGTGTGTATTTGTATAAAAAGATACAGAAGATAAAGCAGATAAAGAAGTTAAAGAACATGTAGCAGATAAAGCAGATCAAGAAGATAAGGAAGATAAAGAAGACAGCACAGACAAAGAAGATAAGGAATAAGATAATGAATATAAAGAAGATAAAGAATAAGATAATAAAGAAGCTTACATGAACTGCCTTAACGCCGAGTTGTTCTCTCTCCATCAATCTTCTTGAATTGAGCACTGTTCTTAAATGCGCTTTCATGAAGACAGTTGCATTTTCCTGCACTTCTGCGGATATAGTATCTGCTTTGCAAGTTTGTTTAACTACGATAAGTTTATCATTTAATAACTCCGAAACACTCTTTGCTATCGCCACAGGGTCTTGTTTCTTCAGTTGTTCTACAGACGGGGGAAACTGCGCCTTAGCAAATTCAAGCAAACGCATAATGTTTATAGGAATATGTTGTTTAACCTCTCCATCAGGGAATATACTTTTACATAGACGCAGTTTATCTTCTTTAATGGCTTCATATTCATCTTCTAGTACTTGTTGAGCAGAGAAATCAACGAAGAGCTTCGTACGTAACTCTTCATTTAATATCCAACCTTTTCCATAACTTTCTTGATCTAAATCATGCCTATACACCCGCCGAATCTTTTCTGCATCCATCTGCATCAATTCTATCACTTGGTCTTCAACATATTCACCACTCATTCCGTCTTCTCCATATAAAAATTGCAGTACCTCTTGTGCGCTGTTTCGCACTGTTCTATCATAGCTGACTTTCACATCTTCCATTGCTTTCATTAATCGCCGCTGAATATACCTGAATATACATGCAAACAACAAATGTATATATATTTATATATTTATTATATTTAACTAAACATAATATATATAATATATAATATATATATATATATATAAAGTGTATAAATGAATGAGCAAATAACTTATTAAATAATAAACAACTTATATATTTACTTAATAAATATATAAGTAAACAAATAAATAAATAAATAAATAGAGCACATCTTACCCCGTTTCTGATGTTTTGCATGCAGTATCGATAATTCCTTCTCTGCCTCCCATAGCATGGAAGAAAAGTTCTTGAGGGAGTAAACCTGTTAAATAACTATGCTCAACAAACCCTCTACTCTCTGGAGAGTAATCAAATTTACTAAAATGAGGCAAAGAACGATTATTAAAACCAAACGGAATTCGCTTTCCTTCAACATTTTGCTGTCCTACACACGCCATAATCTGCGATATGTTGATAGTACTCCCCTTAGACCCGGCCAGCACCTGAAGAAAATATATTTAAACCCACAATTAATTAACCAATTAATTCTTAAAGTCAAATAAGATACTACAACGATATAACGAGGAAAAAAACAGAAAATAGCATAAACATGAACACAAAACAAACCCCAAATGTAACAATTAAAAGAAGAAACGACAAAAACAACAGCAATAACAAGGAATGAAGCCTGAATATCCCAGCAGCAGCAACAGCAGCAGCAGCATATAAGAGCACAACGTAAATGCATCTGCAGAGATAAAAGAGAGAAAGAAAGCAGCAAGGAGTTAGCAAACGGTGAGAGAAGAAAAGAAAGACGAACCATAGCCATTATATTGTTGGATTCATCGAGTTGTTCAGATGCAACTTTTCCCGACTTTTCTCTCGCTGCATTTAGCTCTTTATTAACTCTTGCTTCAAAACTTTCTCTTAAACTCTTCCCAGGCTGTGCCTCCAATCTGCCTTGGTGGGCTAGCTTTGTCAAATGCGCTACTTCTTCTTTTGCTTCTTTCAGAATTTCCTCTACTTTTCTGCAAGTCTCCGGCGAGGTAATAATGTCGCTACACCCCACTGTAAAGCCCTGATGAAGCAACCAGAAGTTTACAAGCTTTTGTAATGCTCCTAAGAAATCTTTTGTTCTTTCCGGCCCTGCCTCATTCCAAAGAAGATGAATAAGAGAACCACTGGAGGAGCCGACTGTTTTTTTGCAGATTTTCCCTGCAAGAAGCTCCCCTTGTCGAATAATAACACGTTCATCTCGTTCTGAAATAAATAAGTTCTCTTTCTTTCGGTCAACCAAGCCCCCAACATCGCGCATCATGTTGATTCGCATGCGAGTGTTTGCTCCCCCACCTCCTGTGCTGGTGTTGAAGCAAAGCAACAAAGAAAATAACTGTTTCCCTGTCCATAGAGGCTCAGGGCAAAGAATAGCTGGAGGAGGAACAATGCCATCCCAGTAAGGAATTTGCAACAGCAAATCAAACACCATTGGGCGTGTTAAGAACGTATCTCTTCTCGTAAATTTGCTGACAGCTAGCAGCGAATCCTGCGCGGCACAACAAGAAAATAAACAAATAAATACTATTTTAGTAACAAAGAAGAAGAAGCAAAAGAAGTATATATGCAATAGAGAAAAACCTGCAAAAGGCGAGCGCACTGAACAGTCGAAGAGAGCGAAATGTACGTCGAGATGCAGCAGCAAGACTCATCATGTTTTCTCTGTTTTTCTTACCTGTACAATCCCCATAACAGGCTTATTTCCTTGAGGAGAAACAATTTGCTTGGGGACAAGCATAAGATGTTTAATTTCTGCACGTGTTTCCTCGCTCTGAGCCAGGTGTAAGTTCATCTCATCACCATCGAAATCTGCATTGTATGGAGAAGTAACAGATAAATTAAGACGAAAAGTTGAATAAGGTAAGACGCGCACTCGGTGACCCATTATAGACATCTTGTGAAGAGAAGGCTGCCGATTAAACAATACATAATCTCCATCTTGCATATGCCTCTCCACCCTATAACCAACCTCCAGCGCAACCTCTCCCCCTTTCTTTGCATGTCTCAGGTCGAATCTGCAGTTCAAAACAAATAAATAAACAATCATACATACAAATGCATCAACAGACAAAGGCAATTATAACTCAAATAAACCCTAAACCCTAAAACTGTAGACCCTAAACCACAAGAACGAACAACAAACCAAATACAACATTCATACGAAAACAAATAAAAACAAAACGACCTAAATAACAACTCAAAACAACCCCAAACAACCATAAACCCTAATAAACATATATAATAAATAAGTATAATACATAAGCATACATATAAACATGTATTATACGCTATATAATATGTGCATGCAGTAGAGCGGGTTTGAATGAAGTGTTGTTTTGCGTATATTACCTCGTTCCGTCTTCTCGAATAACATATTTGGCTCCCGGCCATTCTAAGGGCCCCTTTTTAACTAATTCCTTTAACTTGTTGATATTTAAATGCGTGACAAACTCAGGATATGTTAAAGTCATTGCTATACTCTTCGGCACCCCCACCACATCAATGGGAAGATTAGGATCGCCTTAAATAAACAAACAGCATAACGCAGTAAACAATACCTGTGCATACACCCCAACGCTCACCTCCACCTGTACACCACAGCTCTCCCGGTGGTTATACGCAGAGGAATCATAAACATTATTGCTAGGTATACATGCATAGAGGCTTACAGATACAGATATATATATACATATATGCAGACATATATATATATATATATATATATATATATATGGAAGCCGCACCCACACCAAATACACCTCAGGCATAGAGATGCACTGAAGATACAAGCAAATGGAGGAACAATTCATGCATGCATGCATGCATGCATGCATGCATGCATTGTTTGTTTTGTTGGTTTATTTGTTTGTTAGTTTACCTGTGATGACCGTTCGCGCTGAGAAGTCGACTCGCTTGCCCATTAAATTACCTCGCAAGCGCCCCTCTTTGCCTTTCAGTCGCGACCGCAGCGCCTGCAGCAGAACGAAAACAAATATAATATAAACGCATGCAAACTGCAGCATTAGAAGCAGCAGCACCAACGACTCCAGCAGCAACAAGCAACTGCAGCAGTACCCGCAGTAGAACAAGCACAGCTGTAGCAGAAGAACAAGCACAGCAGCAGCAACAGCAGCACCAGCAACAGCAGGAGCACACGCACAGCAGCAGCAACAACAGCAGCATCAACAGCACAGCAGGAGCACAATCACGGCAGCAGCAACACAGCAGCAGCAGCACAACAGCAGCAGCAGCAACACAGCAGCAGCAGCAGCACAGCAGCAGCAGCAGCAGCAGCAGAGATGGATGTTAATGCACCTTGATAGGCTTCTTAGATCTGGTGGTGGCGACTGGAACCCCCGGAATATCGTTATCGAAGAAGGTGGTGACGTGATACTGCAGCAAAAGGTTCATCTCTTGCAGCACTGCAGAGGGCACAGAGTCGCCTTGCCTCTTTAATGAAGCATTTGTCTTAACAATATCCATCAACTTCAACGTCAGATCGTCTTCACTGCGAGTATTTCCATTTTGAACACTCGGGCGTACTGCAGGAGGGGGTATAGGAAGAGTGCTAAGAATGAAAGAGGCGGGATGAGCTCGCACAGGATCAAACCCTAGCAATCGAATATCTTCTTCAGATACTCTACGTATAATTTGCAGGGCTTCTTCAGGTACTAATACCCTCCTTAGATCTTCAGGAGCTTCTTCATCAGTCTCTATAATATTACCCTTTTGTTCAGGAAATGCAACCATTAAGTTAGGCCCTTCTTTAAAATATCTCGGCTGTATACAACCACAACCTCCTCCTATACCTTGTCCTTCTTCTGCTGTATCTTGTTCAATATCACAACGTCTCCGCCCTGCACATAGATCTACTAATCTCTTCAAACGCTTTGCTGGGGTTTTCACTGCTGCTGCAGCTAATAACCTTGGATCTTGGCGAGAGATAAGAAGACGACCGCAAGAGCAGCAAACGCAGCGAAGAACACGCAAGACAGCTCCTATAAAACCATAATGATATACAGGTTTAACTAAGTTAAGATGCCCGAAGTGCCCTGGGCAATTCTTAACATCCATTAAACATGTTTGGCATTTTAAACGATAATCTAATGTCCCTAGACGAAGGTCATTCAAACCATTCGCCTTAGGAAGACCTTGTTCATATAACTCTGTACTCGTTATTTCACAAACAGACATCCTCTGAATCTGCTCTGCGCTTAATACACCAAACTGAATTGCACCTACCCTTTTATAAGGGCAAGGAGAATAAGGGGTCGCCAGAGATAAAGCTGCCATCTTCGCATGCACTCAAAAGCCAAACAATATCTTTCAATTTATCTATGTATGCACGGCGGCTTCAATAGATACGCATCCACAAGCAACATACATGTAAACCAAACGAAGCAAAACGGAGGCGCAAATGCCTCACAAATACAAATAATAATACTAATCCCACTAACAACACCACACAAACAAGAACAGAGACGAAAGAAAATAAGAAAAACCTTCCCTCGCCTGTTTTCAGGTGTACAGACACCCCTGAAAGCCCCAGCAGCTCGCAGCGCGCCTGCTGCGCGCTGCGAGCTGCTAAACAACCACCAGAAGAATAAAAGTGTTTCTTCGCTTCTGCAAAAGAAGGAAAAGGTGAATGAATGCCTCAGCCCCTGCAAGTGTTCGAGAAGGAGCGAGAGCGGCGACGCGTCGCAGAGGGAAACGCTGCTTTTTTGTGTGATTAACCCGCCGTTCTCTGAACAGAAATAGCTGAAATTAATAATGAATTAAACGAAAAAAATGTTTTTACCCATGAGGAATAACAGCCCCCACATGCAGACTCAACAACATCGGACGGCCGCCATTGCGCGCATGCAGATATCATGCCTAAGGTTTCTTCGCACTTCTTTGCTTGTTCTGCCTTCATCTTCGGTGTATTTATATTCCTTTTCTTCTTTTCTTGCATTTTGGTTATTAAGAAATATCATTAAAACCCTCTGAAGCCGTCAGGCCTGCGCTTTCCTGTCGGTTTCGCGCAGCTTCCTTCCCGGGGCTCTCCTGCTCCCCCTCCAGCTCCTTTGCGGAGTAATCTGAGTTTTCATTTGCTCTCCAAAGAGGAAATAATACATTAGTTCTGTTTATTGAGTCTAAAGCGGAATAATCTTGACGACAAACTCAGCAGAGCAGAGCTGATTGCGAGTCTGGAGCTGTACGTACACCCCAACAACAACGCGGAGAGGAGCTGCGGAGTCGGCTCGAAAGAGGAACGAAGGAATCAAAATTTAATTTCTTATTTTCATTTTATAAGCGTTAAAAGATGCCGTCTGTCATCGGCAAGGCAGGACCTCCTGCAGATCTTCGTCGCTTTATGGAGAAGAGGCTCGACGGTAATTCTATAAATGCACATAAATAAGTAAAAATATGAATGAAATATAGACAGATAAATTGTTGGTATGTAGGTAAATATTGTAGCGATGATGTTTTCTGCGTTATGCACATTTTAAGTGGTTATTTATCTCTGTCTCTCTGTTTACTGCTCTCTATTTTTTTTTGTATGTATTTTGTTTTACAGTGTCTGTCTTGTATTGTGTTTAATTATATTGCACTTTCTGTCTTTGTCCATCTCATATATTCTGTCTAAACACATACGTTTTTGCTTCCTGCTGCTGCATTTAATTGCTGTTATTTGTTTTTGTTTCTGCTGTCTGTACAGTACACCTGAGCGGTGGGCGGCGCGTCGTTGGTGTAATGAGAGGCTACGACACCTTTATGAATGTTGTTTTAGATAATGCATTGGAGCTAAGGGGCCGCCCTGGGTCTAAACAAGTTGAAAGAAATGAATTAGGCATGGTTGTTATCAGAGGAAACTCAATATTAGATTGGGAGTGCTTAGACAAAGTGCGCCCTTAAATGCAGACTAAGGGACCTGAGCTGAGGTGTACGTACACCTCATTTCATACGCCAACAAACCTGTAAGGGGGAGTTGGCGTGCAGTTATTTATTTATATTTATTCCTTTCTCCTTTCTTTTTCAAAGAAGGGGAAACCGATACAAACCACTGGAGGTTCTCGCCTCTTAATTATCTCCACCCTAATTAAACGCTCTTTCGTTTGTTCTTGTTTAGGGTTTAGGGCTTAGGTATATATATCTGCATATATATCTGTATGTATGTATGTATATCCCTTAGGGTTTAGGGTTTAGGGTTTAGGGTTTAGGTCTTCCTGTGCAAAAGACGGCACCGAGAAACATATATATATATATATATATATATATATATATGAGAGAGACAGACAGACAGAAAAGAATGCAAAGAAAGAGACAGAGAAGAAACAAGAAAAAAGACACAGGGGGAGACAGAGAGGAAAAGACAGAGACCACACCAGAGGTAGAAATACAGACTGAGACAAATGCACACAGAGAGAGAAGGAGAGAGCAATAAAGACGAAGAAAGAGAAAAAGAGACAGAGCGACAGAAACAGAGAGACAGATAGAGATAGGGAGACTAAGAGAAAGAAAAACAAAAGAAATAGAGGCAAAGAAACAGACAAATATGAGGAAGATTGAATTAAACAAACAGAGACGGATGTAGAAATAAGGACAAACAAAAAATAAACTACTTCACCTCAGGATTAGGATAGCAGAGAAGAGGCAGCAGCAGCGACTGTGGAGTACGGCGCAGCAGCAGCAGCAGCAGCAGCTACTGCTGCTGCTTCAGCTGCTGCTTCAGCTGCTGCTGCTGCTGCTGGGTTTGATGGCAAGCGATGCGAGACTGCAGGAGCAGCAGCAACAAACAGCTTTCACCGCTTGTTATTTGTATACTGAGTCTACAAGTCGTTGTCGCTTTTTCTTCCTTGTGTGTGTTTGTTTGTTTGTAAGAAAATATTTAAACCTTTTTCGCGTTTCTCCCCTTCGTTTTACTCCTTTAGGGGAATTGACTGAGTTTAGGTCAAGGAATGAAGAGCGACATATATATATATATATATATATATAAAGATATACGTATATATAAATATATACAAATATGCACATATCTATACATTATATATATTTATAGAACCATTGTGTTGCCTTTTGACCCGCTTTGCGAAGTGAAGAGATTTGTTTTCTTTTTCTCTGTTTTAAATGCAATACGACAGAAAGCATTAAAAATGTTTGTCTTAGAAAGGGAATGCATGCTTATTCACAGTTTTTGTTTTTCTTTGTCTTGCGTACTTCTCGTTTACTTCGGGCTGTCTACTGGTCTATGCAGATGTATTTATTTATTATTTATTTAAAGTCTTCGTATTGCACAACTTAGTGGGGTGTATAGGGTTGCTTCGATGCTGGCATGCGGAGCTTTTGCCTTGCAGCAGAAGCAGTAGCCACAGCAGAAGCAGCAGTAGCAACTGCAGCAGCAGGAGGAGCAGCAGCAAGGTGTGCTGCTGCAGCATTCACGACAGAAGCTGTTGTCTCTGTCTTTTCTGCCTTTTCTTTGCATCTGCTTCCCCCCTCAGGGGCTATAGAGGAGACCATTGTATTGTATAAAAGATAATAATGATTAATATTGTAATATACAACTGTTATATTATCTTTAATTCTCTTCTTCTCTCTTGTCTTCTCACTCTACTACTGCAGCAATTTGCGTTATTCTGCGTTTTTAATTTTAGTAGAAGGCGACGCGCAGAGCCTGAAATGCATGCAAAACATAAATAATAATTGTAATGCATGCATATTATATTATGCATATATATAGTACATATATATATATTTACATATGCATGGCGTTGTAATATTGAACATAACTAATAGTTATACTGCATATAATATTATATATTTATGTATATATTGCATATGTTATGCAGCTTTCTTGAATAATTATGCAGATACCCGATCTGCATATACACCTGCGGAAAGGCAAATCATTACTATGAGAAATGCAAATATATATAAGTGATGTATCTACATGAACATTATATGTACGAGTATATAAACAGAAATGTGCATAATATATGTACATTTATATACACATATTTATGCGTATGTATGCATAAATATTTACACACGCACATACATGCATACATAAACATAAATAAATAAATGACAAAATAAATAAATAAATGAACAAATAAATAAATAAACAAATAAATAAATAAACAAATATATACAGGTTTCCTATGGATGGTAGTGTGGTAAGGGAGTGGGCGGGTTGGTCGCTTGAGCGGTTTGTTGAACTGGCTTAACTTTTTCAATATGTTTGTTGAATTAATTTTTTAATTTAATTAAAATTATTTGTTTAATTTATTTTTAAAGTTTTTTCTGTTGATGAAGCATATTTTCTCTTGTTTTGTTGGGGGTAATTATCGCAGCCGCCGCCTACAACACCACCGGCAGACGCAGCAGACCGGTCTGCTGGTTTGCCCTTAAAATCAATGTTTTTATGAAAATTTAATAATTTAAATGACAAAATTAATAATATTTATTTGATATATTAGGAGAAAATGAAAAAAAATTGCATTTAAAGACGGGTTTCCATGCTTTCTCGAGTCCTTGGGGAGGGTGAGATGCCCTTGAAGCCCCAGATCAGACAAGACCATCGGCGACAGCTGCTTTTGTTTCTCTTTTTGTAGTATTTTAAAAGTTTGTCTTTTTTGTTTCGTTATTTTAATTTTATTCCTGCAAAATTTACTTCCTGAAAGCTTGCTAAGGTGTATGTACATCCCAGACACTGCGGCCGTCGTGGGCGCCCATGCAAGCCATTCATTTTTTCTGTTGCGACTTAATTTCTCTCCCTTCCCTCGACTTTGTTTTAAATAAATTATTTATCTCTTTTTAATACTTTGTTTCATTCCCTGAGATCACCATGGACGGTGGATATTCCCCACCTTCCTCCGTTGATCTCTTTTCCTCACCAGGTGTTGTTTCCGTCGGCTGCAAGAAATCATTGAACAAATCCTCATTTACCTGCTAATTCAAAAAGAATTAATTCATTTTAAATACTCCGAGTCAAGATGAATAACGTTGCTACACAATTTACACCATATCCCCACTGGGGAGTGGGTGCCCCTCTGAACGCCCAGATGCGGCAGTATGCAGCTTCTGCTGCAGCAGCAGCAACAGCAACAGCAGCAGCACCCGCAGCAGCACCAGCATCAGAAGCCTTTCCCCTTGTTGCAAGGGAACAGGTAGACCGTCGACCACACGAAGGTATGTACATAAGCCCAAGAAGATGAAAACGGTTTGCAAGGAGCAGCACCAGTGCAGCATTGCTACTATGACTTTATAATATTCACTAACTTTTAGCAGAACTGCAGGATTTTTATCGTGGCTTGTACTGCTGCTGCTTCTGCTGCTGTCACTGCTGCTGTTCTTCTTTTGTTTGTTGTTTTTTCGTTGTTGTACACAGCAAACTCTGAGAAGGAAGATGAAGGCAGCTGGGTTTGCTTCTGGTCTCTAGAAAAAGAAAAAGACAACCGCAGCAGATTAGTGGGGCCTCAGCGATTTCGCTCATACTTGGGAATTTCTAAACTTGCATGCGGATCCACTCTAGCCGCCTTCATTGCAGGTGCAGCAGCAGCAACTGCAGCAGCAACTGCAGCAGCAGCAACCACAACAACAGGAGTTGTAGTAGAGGCAGCAATAGAAGCAGTATTAGTTGTAGCGCCAGCAGCAGCGGCAGCACAAGTAGTATGAATAATAGCAGCAATAGCAGCAGTGATAGGACCAGCAGAAACGACAGTAGCAGTAAGAGAGGCAGAAGGAGCAGCAGCAGCAGCAGCAGCAACAGCAGCAGTAGTAGCAACAACAGTACCAGTAGAATCACCTGCAGCAGCAGTAATACCGGACGTAGAAATAACAGCAGCAGTAGCAAAACCAGCAGCAGCAGTAGTAGTAGTCGCAGCAGCAACAGCAGCAGTATCAGCAGTAGCAGCAGCAGCAGGAGCAGCAGGAGCATTCGAGTCTTCTTTGTGTTTAATATTTATTTAATTTGCATTACTTATGTTTTGTTTGTTCATATAGATGACTACCGTTTGTACTGCTGGAACTGGAGAGACAGCGGCAATATGCATGCATGCAGCCCGCAGCTAATAGAAGGAAGAGGCTTAGAATATATGCAAGTCGTTGATGTCTCCTGCGGAGAAGAACATCTTGCATGCACAACCAGTCAGTTCAAGCTGCTGCTGCACCTGCTGCACCTGATGATGCTGCTGCACCTGCTGCACCTGCTGCTGCTGCTGCTGCTGCACCTGCTGCTGCTGCTGATTCTGCCAGTTGTGGTGCCCTTGCTGATGCTAGTGCCGGTGCGGCTGCTGTTGCTGCTGCTGTTGCTGTTGCTGTTGCTGCTGCGGTTGCTGTTTCTTCTGCTGTTGCTGCAGCAGCAGTAGCAGCTGCTGCTGCTGTCGCAGCGTCATGCATGCATGCATATATATTTGTTTAAAGAGGTGCATGCAAGCCCCGTTGTTTGTTTGTTTAATACTTTTTGCTGATAAACTCGCGTCTTCATATATTGCCGACCCTCTGCATTAAATTTTCTCTTTTCAACTCTTTAGTTAATAATTAATATTAATTATATATTTATTAATACTTATTATTTATTTATTTATTTATTAATATTCATTTATTTATTATTTATTTATTATTTATTTATTTATTTATCTGCAGAAGAGGGCCGAGTGTTTACCTACGGCAGCGGCGACTGCGGGCAGCGCGGCAGCGGCAAACTGCGCGGAGAATTTCAAAACGAGTAAACAAAAAATATTTTAGTTTTATTCTTTAACTCTTTATATATATATATTTATATATATTTATATGTAATATATATATGTATATATATATATATATATATATATTTGTTTGTTTATTGATATCATTTGTTAATACTACTTCATTTAACCTTTTAATTCTTATTCGCATGTATAGTAACGTGCACTTGTACATATATATACATATATATATATATTATAATATTTATATTCTAGGCATCACATATTAATATTAGCTCTTATATTGATATATACATACATACAAATATGTATTTAATGCATGCATGTATATTATATATATTATATATATACATATATATATGCATGCTACTCTATTTAGTCCTTTAGGTTTTACGAGGTGTTACATTAATTATTATTATAATTGATATTAAATCGTTGTATTACTAGTACCATGCAATAAAGAAGATAATAATAATAAATAATAATAATAATAAAGATAAGAAATATATAAAAATAAGAAATATATAAAAATAGTGTTTATGTGCAAATTGAACAGGGGCCCTGACGAAGTGTTATTTCCAAGACGAGCAATTCAGGTCGCATGCGGAGCAAAATATACTCTCGTACTCACAGGTCAATCATTAAACCTCTTCCTGCTGCTGCTGCTGCTGCTGCTGCTGCTGCTGCTGCTCCTTGTGGTGGTGGTCGGGGGGGTGCTCATTTTGCTGCTGCTAGTGGTGATGCTGGTCCTGCTGCTGCGGCAGCGCAAAGGGCAGCAGCAACAGCAGCAGAAGAAGCGGCGTATCATCAGCAGCAGGAAGAAACAGCATCACTAGCAGCAGCAGGAGCAAGAGAAGCAGCAGCAGCAACGGCAAGAACAGCAGCAGCAGAACCATACGTAGCAGCAGCAGCAGCATCATCTGCATATGTTTGAATTTAATTATGTTTTTGCTTTTTTGCTGCAGAAGACGGCCAGGTGTATTCATTTGGAGATGGGTCTTACGGTGTATTGGGAGCAGATTGCAATTCCAGTCAGACATCAATGCTTGCTGCTGCTGCTGCTGCTGTCCTTGCTGCTGCTGCTGCGGCTGCTGCTGCTGAGCAAAGATTTGCTGCTACTGGTACTGCTGCTGCTGCTGCTATTCTTTATGCTGCTGCTACCGCTACTGCTGCTACAACTGCTATTGCTACTGCTGCTACTGCTATTGCTGCTGCTGCTGCTGCTGCTTGGTGTGGGGTGTCTGTGCAGTTCGTTGGAGTCCAACGAAAGTAAAGTTTAACAACCGGAAGATAAAACAAATTGCTGCGGGGCGACACCACGTAATTGCAGTGACTGGTGAGTGAAGACAGAAGAAAAAAGCAGAAAAACAAACAAAATAAATAATAAACAAAACAAATTAACAGGGGCCCAGACAGACAGAGGGGATATATTCATGTTTATATATTATATAATATATATATGTACGAATATTATGTTTATATATTATATAATATATATATATATATTAAACAAAAGAAGAGAGAGGAGAAAGAATTACGCATAGATAGATAGATATAGATAGACAAAGAGATATATATATATATATATATATATATATA